ACTGGTTGGCTGATCGGCCCGGCGACGGTCGGTCGGACCGCTGAACCTTTCGAGGCTGTCGTTTTGTGGCCAGCCGGTGATTTGGTGACGTTTGACGTAGGCACGGCGCGCTGCTGCGTTGTGCATTGATTATTGATAGACAAATTAGGAAGCCGGGAACGAATCCTTGACTGCTTTTGATTGCTCTGTTGATGACCCTGGCACTTTGTTCAATTGTAGGTATATTTAAGTATTACGATGAGTCGATTAATCCTTTGCCTCTCAATATTTCCACTTGCTTAAAACTAACTTAATGCGTACTTGGCTATGACGCTAGAAGTCCATTTCGGAAATTGCATCCCGGCGTCAGATAATGCATGTTGTTGCGACCGCCAGCAGACAGGCTTGTACATTAACTTCCTCGGCTCGGCTCTCACAAGCCGTCTGTGGAACTAATACCCACTCCTTTTTACCGTAACGTCGCTCGCGAGGTTCGCGGAATTATTCGGCAATTAATCAATTCATCCTGTCAAACCTCTGCGATGCAGGCTGGTTGCAGCTATCGATCGCTGTGAGCGCCGACGTCCACCGCTAGCCCTCCCTCCCCGGGCCGGGACGGCTGCTCCCAGCGGCCTGGAATGTGCCGCCGACGGCCTTGGGCGGCGAAAACCCCTCTCCTGCAGCGGCGGCAGGGGTGGGCGGTAGGAACCTTCTCTGGTGAGGCCGCCGGTGACACTGTTACTGGAAATCCCCTAGTGACTGCCATTGGTGGTGACAGTGGTTTTGTGCTGTTGGTGCTTCATTGCTGCCGTTTTTGTAGATGGTGTCGATGGTGCAATTATTTCTCCATTGGCAGCATGCCAGCAGTGTTCAATGTGGAGCAACGGCACTGCTGCCGACAACTGTACGACAGGCTGCCTGTGTCCGGCATCTGCTGCCCCTTCCCCCTCCTCCCCTCTCTGCGCCTGTCTCCGCCGCTGCTGACGCGGCTGCCCTGCCAGTTCCAGCCGCCGCTACTGCCGCTTCTGTTGCTGTCACTGCTGTTTGCACCACGCGAAGCCAGGCGTCTGGTAGAGATGCACGCCTGTTGTCGACTGAAGTCCAGATGTTCGACACACTGACCGACTTGTCCCGCTCCAAAGGCGCCTCACGCAATGTTTACCCCGCCACTGGGTGAAATATGCCGCTCTCGAGAAAACGCGTGGTGATACGCATTGAGGAATAGCTACGGGCCAGCGTCCAATACGCACACGGCGAGGAGCCTGTCTCCTTCCCAGCGACCCAGGTGCAGTGAATTAGTGCTCAGTCGCTTTGCAAACACTTTGGCCTCGAACTTTGCCATACTTCCGCGGTGCTGTGCGCTCTGTCTGATGTATGTATGCATGCGTATGCACCTTGGTGGTAAGGTCGGGAAGAGGGTCGACCGATAGCTGCCTTTCTTCTCTTACTATTCCGACTCATCTCATCTTACTAACTCACCTGCTTTTTTACCGGCTCTCAATTGTATGTTCCTCTCGCTCACGAGTCTTTTTGCTTTGAACCATCTTCCATCTCTCTTTCTTCCTCTCTTTACCTTTCTCTTTTCCATCTCCCTCTCTTTCTCTCTCTCTCTCTCTCTCTCTCTCTCTCTCTCTCTCTCTCTCTCTCTCTCTCTCTCTCTCTCTCTCTCTCTCTCTCTCTCTCTCTCTCTCACTCTCTCACTCTCTCACTCTCTCTCTCTCTTTCTCTCTTCTTCTCCCTCTCTCCATCTCCCTCTTCGCTCCAGATTTTTTCGGTCCGTTCCGGCTGACCGGCTCTGCAGATCCAAACCGATCGAGAGCGCCGCTCCGCCGACGAAGAGGGTGAGAGGAACAGAGAGGGAGAGAGGGAGGGAGAGATGACATGTCACTCGGCCGGTCACACTGAAGGTGGGGCTGGAGCGGCGAATGACCAGCCTATAGTGGGAGAAGGAATGGTGGGTGGAGCATAAACGCTCTTCAGACGGTACCGGACTGTGCGATAATCGGATGAGTGGGGAGAGGAGGTGCTGTCATTGGGGCGTTGGAGGAAATGACCCGGAGATGGAGGGACGACAGAGGGCTAGTCTGAGCTGGTGAGAGGCTGAGCGGAGCGGGGAGTAGCGCTGAGCTGATCCCGAGCCAGCTGCTGAGCTGAGCCGAGCCAGGTGCTGAGCTGATCTGAGGTCCTAGCTCCAGGGACTGGGACCTGAGCGATGAGCGTGCCGGCGCCAATCAGATGCAGATTGGATTTTCCTACCATTCCCCTTACCCGGCAGGATTGTTCGCATTTCCTGTTGTTTTGCCGGCTCTGCCTCAATATCGTTTACCTTGTGGAGGTCGATTTATTCCGCTCCCGCTGTGCCGTTGACGAATGACCTGACAACCACTGGCGAAAGTAACAGCGTAGAATATCCGAATAAAGCTGCTATCGAAGGCGATAATGGTCTGTTCCAAGCGATAAACTACGCTTGTAGTGAACAGTTTTCAGTTATTTTTAGTAGGTTTCACCGTTTGTGTTATTGTTTCGGCTATTTCAAACTTTGCTCGAGTTGAAGCTGTTGCTAGTTTTTGTTACCATCTGCAGGCGGTACCCGATGGCCCTTTCCAGTCCACTAGGTTCAGCAGCAGTCGCCGGGCAAGTCTGCTGACATTGAGCCTCTGTGTAAACACAGCGCAGCAGACTGTGATCGTAACGCCGTGGAGACCATGCATCGAGCCCGATAAAACCTGGCCACTGTTTATTTCTACATTGGTTTTACAGCGGCCATTTTTATGCAGCAAGAGTCGACTACATTGGTCTCCACAGCATGACATACACGCTGTATGTACTGTGCAATCTGTGTACTCTCTATGTTTTACACAGGCTGAGTGTTGAGCCTCGCCGCGCCCATCGCCGCAGCACGGTGGCCAGCCACCTTCAGGCTCTGATTGGGTCACCAAGGCGATATTCCCGGCCGTTACCCAGCCAACTGACCATGGCGGTGTAGCAGAGCGATCTAAGCAGCAATATCCGGCAAGCTGGCCGCGAGGGCAGTGGAGAAGGCAGTGCTGGTTGATTGAGGGCGGTGCTGGGCGGAGTAAAGCTGGCCAGCAGAGAATGAACCTCGTGTCAACGGAGCTACGAGCCAGTTCGCTGGGTGCTGACCACCGACTGCCTGCTGGTGCTGATCGCCGGCTGCTCTTCTGACCGCTGCGCTGGCCGCTAGTCGCTGACCGCCCTCTGGTGCTGACCGCTCTTCTGACCGCCGGCCGCTGGCCGCCCTCTGGTGCTGACCGCTCTTCTGACCGCCGCTGCTGACCAGATGGTAATGGCATTCGCAGCGGCCGATGGAGCTCCAAACAAACCCAGGCGGCAGTGTAAGCAACCGGCACCAGCGGCGGCCGCAGGCGGGCAGGCTGTTGGCCGGCCAAATGTATCCGGTCATGACCCAGTCGGCAAATACACCGACTAAGAGACGCACTGGCAGTGGTTCGGAATATCGGAATTCCACGCCGGGAATCATTGCCGGCTCGATTTCTGCCAGAGACATTTGCATGCAATTGAAAGTTGGAGCAAACTTTGGTTACGACAGTTACGAGGAACGTGCGTGAGATGAATGAGAAAAGTTGGCCGTTTGTCCCAATTGGGTGTGTGTCTCTGATACGTTTCTCTGGATTAATTAACAGTCCGGGTACCGTTATTTGACCAAGGCACGGACGAGGTGTAAGAGGCTGGCAAGGCTTCCAAAAACAGACTTATTACTCTGTCCGTGGATACTTATTTCGCTGCCGAGTAGCGTGGAGCAGTGGATGAAAACATGGCTATTAGCTGTGAACCGTTTGCTATTCCGTTGCAGGCGGCAATCTATTGCAAGGCCGTTGCATGCTAACTTGGACGTGGACTGAGAAAACTGAGATTATGCTGCCCGTGCCCTGTAGAGGGTTTTTCTTGCTATGCAACTAACAGGTTACCAAGCGCCAAAGGGCTGGGACTAGCTTTGGGGCTTTTGGGTGAAAGATCACTGCCATAGGTCACGCTTATAGATGGAGTTCAAACCTGTCATCAAGGTCCCTTAGCTCAGTTGGTAGAGCGTTGGACTCCGCGTGGTTAGAGCACGCGTTCCTGGTTACAACAGTCCGGGTTCGAAGCGCGGCGGGCGCTTGTCATCTATGGGCCTCCTGACAGGTATGGTTGCGGTTGGTGGCAGGCCGTAGCGAGGCGAAGTCATTGAGGGGACTGGCCGTGCGCAGCTATGTGCGCACGTTTAACTTTCGACTCTAAATTCTGCCATAGAACTGGAATTGCGCGATCGGAGGGTAGAGGGCAGGGTCACCGCAACAAGCTTCGCTTAGCGGTGGCTCTGTCCTTGTGAATCCTTCCTATCAAAAGGCTCGGACTAAATTTGTAAACAAGGTAAAATAGCTGTCGAGACCTCGCATCTCTGGTAAATGTGAAACATTGCTCCGTACTTTCGGAAAAATGACGCTCGCCAAATGACGTATGCTAGCATTACACCATTTTTTGTTTGCACCCGGATCTTTTTGAAACTAGAGCTTCGCTGCACCATATTCTGTCCGTATCTGTGTCCGGGTTTTGTGCGACGAACGTATGCGTCTGTTCTGTAACACACTGCATGTCTATAGGTTTTGGTTTAATAATTAGCCGCAGAATCAGCTAGCTCTCGCTCTGCACACTCGGCAAACTTATTGCCGTTTCAGTGCTTTGATATCTCTGTCTGGCAAGTTTCCCTAATCCAGCTCAACCGTTGAGATCTCTAGGAGACGCTGCGGAGCTTCTCGCACACCTCTGGCCGGTGGTCCTCGGTGACCGATCTCCATGGCAACCAGAGGGGTGTGACAGTGCTGACTAGAGATGTCAATCGGATACCAACTTTTTGGTATACCGATACCAAACCGATACCAACTTGGTATTTGGTATTTCAATCGTAATGTGTTTGGTATTTGGTTGGTATCATAAACCCTCACTAATGCATAAGAGACTAAGAAATCGGTAAAAAGTTGGCACTTCCATCATTTTCCCAAGTTGGTTTGGTTTCGGTACTTTCTCGTGGTTCTGGTTGGTATTTGGTTTGGTATCGGTATTCCGATTTTCCGTAATTGACATCACTAGTGCTGACACTACTGACACGGGGCCGCCCGCGGGGCTCACACCGGCTCCGGCTGTGAGCCTCCCTCCCGGCGGAGGGGCGCAGCCTCCCCTCCGGGACCGGCGGCCGGCAGGGGCGGGCGGCTGGCGCTGAGTCACCTCCGCCGCCGCCGCCGCTGCTCTGGGCGGCTGCTAGTGCTGACGTCACTGAGCCGCCACCGCCGCCGGCGGGCGGCTGGCGGACCGGCCGGCCGGCCGGCTATCGCTGCCTCGGTCGATAGGCGGCGCAGTCGGGAGCAGTGCCGAGCGCAGGGACGAACGCGCGCCGCTGCGCTGCGCTGTGCCGCGCGCCACTGGCGATCAGCTCGTGCCGGACGGGGAGGGGACCGGACCGTCTCGGAGACGGGCCGCAGCGCTGCTCACCGACGGACGCCACCGAGCCGCTCGCCATGGAGATAAAGACGCTGCAGAAGAGCAGCACCTTCAACTCGCTGTCGAGCGGCACGCAGAAGATCGGCAGCTGGTTCTCGCAGCTGGGCGAACGACGCCGCAAGAGTGTCATCCGCAAGAGCGTCACACTCAGCGCCGGTCTTGGTGAGTGTTGCTGGAGATGGAACTGGCCGCTCGAATCCCTAAAAATGCCCTGTACTAGGTTTTATCATGTTAGAGAGGGGAGAGCAATGAATGGCTATTTAGTTGCTTCCAATCTCGTCCATCAAAGAGTAAAATTGCTATGATCTTTTAGAAGAAAGCACTCCTATAGCTTTTGATACTCCGTCGGAGATCAATGTTACTCTGCTCGTAACTTCACTTCGTTGATTTTCCCTGCGAGTGATCGCGGCAAGGCCCTCTAGATCGCGGCCTTCCCCGGTATCGTCCACTGCTCGTTACTGTCCTCTGCTGGGTGAACAGTTCCTGTCGTTCCTCCGTCCGCCGCTCCTCGCCGTATTCCCCGCGGGCCGCTGTCAGATCCCCAGTGAGATAGAGGGCGGGGAAATGGGGCCTGATCGGTCGGCGAGGGATGGGATGGGCGGCGGCGGCGGCGCCCGTCCTTGCCCGGGGTGTCGATCGGTGAATTGCTCGGGTTTTCGGCCGGTGAATGGACGATGGCCTGAGGCGGTCAGTTGTGGGCGGGCGGAGATGGGTTTGGAGTAGGCGGTCAGCGTCTGGCTGTGGAGCTGAGCTGATATTGTATTAGTGGAGGGTGATGTCAGCAGTCAGCGGCGGGACGAGCTGAGGTCTGCTGACTGAGGCTACCCGCAGCCCGTGCCACTTATAATACAGTTACCAGATTCGAGGCTGGTCAGCAGACTATTCTAACCTACCGGGTGGTCTGGTGTGGCCTCTCCATACTCCAGACTAGCGCAGGAGGCGCGGACCCGTCCAGCCGCGTGCCAGCGGCTCCCAGCGGCACGCGATGACTCACGACGACTACTCGGGGTCACTCCCGATGACTCGGACTTTGTGTCTCGGCGACTTCAGCTGTACTGAATAACACATCAGGCACAAGCCGGCTCTGCGGCTCGCCGGCAGGGTCCTGCAGTCGGCAGCTGCGGCCGCTGCAGGCCGTCCGTCCGTCCGTCTGTCCGTCTGTCCGTCAGTCCTCCGTTGCCCCCGGTGACGGACGGTGCCTGGATGGTTTCGCGGTACCCTCGTGCCGTATATGGAGCCGGGCGGCCGACCGGACCCGCGGCGGCTCCGGCTGGGCAGCCGGCCGGGCCGGGGTGTGCAGAGCGGCTCCCGGAGCCGGGCGGTGCCGACGGCGGCCCGGAAGCGGCCGTCAGCGGCGCCAGGACGGCCGCCTGACCTCGGAAACCGCCCCGGAACACGCCGCACCAGCTGAGGGACGCAGAAGTCACGTGACGCTCGTATACAGACCGGCACATAGGCAAGGAGGCATGGGGCGCCTTGAACTGAGCGGGACTATCTGCCCTAGGCGCTACGCTCATCTAATGGCGTCGAAGTTTTCGTGACTAGTATTCCGCTTAATGATGCTGCTTAAACTAGATCGAGTTAGTACTGGATTGAAGTGTCGTTTAATGAGGTGAAGTGTACCCGCTAACTGGCGCTCGTAGGTGCTTCTAGTAACCCTGATCCACCCTGTTTATCCCCATAAATTATGTTGAGTCATGGTCTGGCTCATCTTTGTTTTCCGACCAGCTGTTGCCCGGTGCGACTGTGAGCCGGTGGCGAAGTAGGCCGGTGCACGTTCTGGCCGGGTTAGTCTAATTCGGTGAGAGCAGACTCCGCCCTTCCTGTGTGTCAGCCGCTCTGCGGGTCAGCGGCGGCCTGTGCGTGCCGGCCCTGAATCACGCCCCGTGCCATGTTCGGTGTCTTATCGGCTGTGTTTCCCGTCATCGGCCATGGTTCTGGACGTCAGTGTGACGTGGAAACTGTCACCGGGTATCTGGGCGGTGGATGACGCAGAACCGGGTCTGGAGGACGTCAAGCTGGTAGAAACCGGTGGCTCTGGAAACTCACTAAACGTGGTGGAGTAGTAAGAAAAAAGAGCAAATTACTTGTGTGTGTTAACTCGTTCTCGACAGCTGCCTCTGGCTGGCCCGGGCGCCGTGCTGTCAGTTGCACGCAGCTCCTTCGCTGTTCCTTCCCATTTAGCGCCACCGCCGCATTGTAGACGCCGTCGAGTGGTCCTAAGGATGTTTCCGACAGCGGCAGCGGGCCGAGCCCGTCGCCGGTGTCGGACGCCGCCTGGCACCGGAAAATAATCGCCGCGCCGCCGAGGAAAATGGCACGGAAGCGGCCCAACATGACCTTATGCGGAGGCCTTCAGCGGGCGCTACCCAATGTTCCCCGTCAGGTATCGGCTGGGTGCGGACAGGTGGCGGCTGGGCGCCGGTCGCTGAGGGGTTACGGGGTGCCATGGGAACCCGCTGAGGCGGTATCGCGGCCGGCGCAGCTCCGAACTGGAATCGTCCTAATCCCCGGCCGAGAAGCTAACGTCCAGCTGTCAGGAAAAATTAAGCCCGGCTCAGGCCAGTTGGTTTATGATCACCTCGAGGATTAGACGGTCATTATATCTGGGCCAGAGCCGTTAGGAAGATATCTTTGAGCTGATTTAGCCCTAATTGTTCGCGGCGGCTTTCCCAAAGTTGGGAGTCAAGGCCGTTATTTCCTTGAGGCAATAACCATGGGAATTAAGGCTGTTATTTAAGGAATATCATGTTTCCCGGGTTTCATCAGTTCGCTTATGAGGGGCTTAAAACTTCATAGCGGGTGATGGAGGCGAATTAATGTTTCAATATGCCTCCGTCTGGAATTCAGCCCACGGTGCTATGTCTGAGGCCGGGCTTTGGTATGGCGGAGGCCTGTCATAGCGCTGGGACATCGCCGGATTACTGTGAGTGAGTGAATCATTCCCCAGAGTTGTGTGTTTTGAATTAGGAGCGCCGGACGTGACCGGTAAGGGAACAGGCGCTGGCCGTTGGAGATATGTCACGACCAGATTCTGAGTCATGAACTCACACGACAAGCCGATCAAAACGTGCCGGCTCGTCGGCAGAAAAGGGTTTATCGGCCACGCTGTGCGGCCCAGCGCGGCTCATAGGTATTTTACTTGCACAATCACAATCTGTGCTTAAGATTTTTACCGAAGTGGCACTCAGTTCCTCCGGTTGACTCGGTCATGGGAACACGCCTTGTATGATTGTCATCCTGAAATGGCTATGAAAAGTGTCGGCTTTCACTTTTCAGAGCCTTAAACGCAATCCGAAATTGCAGATATTGATGGCGCATGGGTACTAAAGTCGCATTGTTGCCACCGTCTGACCTCATTGTCGGACTGCTCTGCAATCTCTGTAGCTTATCTGGCTGACATTTACGGCGCCCTATTCGGTCGATGGTGTTTCATTTATGGCACGCACATGACATTTTGTTGGGTAGGTATAATTATCGTCCGCTGTCATTCTTGTACCATGGAATCTCGGTTATCATTGTTGTGGGCGGGCGGATGGTACCGAGAATCTAGCCCGAGACTGGCTAAATCGGGACTGGATTATAACCGGGACATTGTATTTGGTATTTGGAAAGTAATTAGCGCCCTCTGTCCACTGCAATGGGCAGAAGAAAACTGAGCTATCTGAAAAATTGAAACAGCGAGTATTCCTTTTAGTGGCCAATAGCATATCTATGCAATTGCAAAGGCTTACCAGTTACCTCATGCATGATCTGGCGTAAATAATGAAAATTGATTTTTTGGTGTTTCGTAGCGAAAACTGACCTGTGAAAGTGACAGTGGATTTAGTTCGGTGTACAGGGTGTCTCAAAAGCTCGTATACACATTTCCCATGCCCATAAAGCATATAAGAACCGGCCAAAAATTTAAGGTTTTTGTGTCTGTGTGCACACTAGACAAATATGCATGCTTTGACAACTGATTCGGGAGGTTGGAAATCAAACCCTTTGCTGTATCTCCAAAAATATTTGCCCATACCGATTTTCGTCGCTCCGTCAGCTGCCGGAGGCTGATAAAAGGTTACCAGCTTTCAAGCTCTTGTAAGGGAATCCCCTGCAGTTTCTGCGTCGGAATTAGGTTTGATGAGCTCCCCGGCAACATCCGCTTCTCCCTGAAAGCCGACAGCGTGCATCGACACCATCCGTGAGTATTTTGTAGGTCTTCTCTGGCGCTAACTCCTTCATGAATGACTGGCGCCGACCTCCCAAGCACCATTTTCCTTTTCAAAACAACCCCATTCCTGAACAAATGGGAAGTGCCAGGGGAAAAAAATTCGCAGCATATCGTAGAAGAATGTGTCGGCCATCTGTTTCTTAGACACATTGTGCAAATTTTGCAAATCCCAAACGCTCGTCATTCCCCATGCCAAGACCTTCGCTGGGTTGCGGAGTGTTTTCTTCAGGAGAGGTTCTGCTTTGTAAACGGCCAAAACCTGTCCATCGTGTGGTTTTGTCGGGATTTCGTGTCTAAAAGAAAGCTATTCGCTCCAGATCTGCCTCTTGAAACTTCGTTAGATAAAACTTTACATTAATTGACACTTTTGGAGGGTCAGTTGTCCTTGGTGTTGATGATTTTCGTGTTATTTTCCCCAAAAATTTAGCGTTCTAGATATTATAAACAATTTCAAATGATACTTTGTCTTTATTTTACGATGACCTGCAATTTTTGAAACTGGGTAACCTCTGTCTGTGAGCTTTTTGTCAGTTTTCAATAGTTATGCCTTCATTTTCAGCTGCTTTCCTGAGTACGAGTCTGCTGCCGTACGAGGGTCGTTCAAAACGCTGTTATGTCTCGCATGGTTTTGTCCTTCAAAAATTTTAGCCACCGTTTTTATTAGATGATCATCATGTTGTACTCATCCTCGCCGACACTTTGCCATGTGTCATTTCCGACTTAACCATTCCCATTACTCCTGAAACAGAGAGTTTCTCAGCCGACCCGATTTTGCGACCTCCATTTTCATGCTTGACCCATGGTCAGAGATGAACCCTTTTTGTGGGCTCATGAAGGGTCGAATGCGCTTGAAAACAATGCGACTGCTGGGGGAAGGTTGTTACCAATGCCCATGCAAAATTTCGACTGTTAATTCCTCGTTTATTCAGAATTATTGACAAAAAAGCAT